TAAAGAATATGAGCAAGATTGAATGAGAAATTACCAAACTAAATACTGGAGGATTTCTGTCATCATCTCAGGATCCCTAAAGTAGAGAGAATTTCTACACGGATCAATTTAGAAGAGAAACTAGAAGGAAGGAAGCTAGTGAACACCACCCACCAACAAACCTTGGGATACTTTTTATAAATGAAAAGTGGGATTGATTGTCACTTTATATTGCTAAAAGGGTAAGCATGTTTGATAATTGGATTCAATTCTGCGACCAAAAGATTGCGAGTCAAGTACCCTAACCACCGGCCATGACTTCAGAGTAACAATTATCACAAGTCTTTGAATCGAAAAACAAACTAGTTTCCTGTAATGATAGGTACTTGTCGGGTTTAATATTAAAACTGCATAGAATAAAATAATGGTTGGAGACGGCTTTTATTAAAGTTTTTCTTCATTACCCATTCAAGCCGTCTCTAACCATCATTAGTCTCAAAGTGGGTTCCTCATCATCGAATTTGCATAGAATAAAGCTTTTATAACTAAAAAAAAAAACTTTTTTTTTTTTAGCTTGTCTCATTTACAAAACCATTAGGAATAATACTCGTAATTCATTTCATAATATTACCCAAATAGCTTGAAAGATAAATTTAAACTACTTACGCAAGTTCCACTTGAGGCCAGTAGTGGTAACATGCTGACATGGTTCTCCTAATGCTATAAGACCACAATGAAGATGATGGACAGATGAAGGTACATGAATACTGTTTTGACCCTATTAATTAATTGATAAAATACAGTTAGTTTGCTAAAATAAAATAAACACGTATAATGCATTCAATGAGGTCCCACCCTTTGGCATACATCAGAAAAGCCCGAAGATGGAAACAACTAAATTGGACTTTCTTAATCATTATAATACATAACCTGAATGAGAATTTCACTAAGGCAGAATAGAGAACAAATGTCATAAGTGGAAATTAGTTTTGAAGTAACACATGCTTATGTTTTTATTTTCAACAAGTGTTTTTTTATTGAATATATATATCAAAAGTAGGTCCATAAGGAACTAAATATGTACATATAATTTTCTTATTTTCTACTACCATGAAACTTCCTGGCTAAAAGTTTAATAAAAATGTTTGAAACACTTTCATGGGTTGTAAAGAACAATAGATTATTTTGGGAAAACACATTTGTCTTGGTAGGTTTTATTGACTTTTGCATGAATAATGTTGTCCTGAGGAACCCTGGTATTGAGTGAAAAGCCTTGTTGGCATTGGATATGGCAGATGTAGTGTGGTTGACATATCATAACTACTTGAGAGCCATCTGTGCTAGTCGTCTCTAATTTAAGTGACACACAAAAGGGAAGGCAGCTAGTCAACACCTCCTACCCCAAACTGTTGAGATACTGTTTTATCAACAAATAATGGGATTGGTTATCACACTATACTTCTCATATGGCTAAAAGGGCAAGCGTGTTAAGTAAGAAGATTGATAGCTGCGACTCACAGATTGAGAGTCAAATGTTCTAACCACTAGGATACTGGGCTAAGAAAATTTTGTTTAGTTTTACATCAGATTTTTTATGATCCTCACTTGCAAGTGGTAAATGTTATCCCTCCATTATTTCAGAGTTTAGCAAAACAACTAACAGAAGTAGTCAGCAATATCAAGCTTAAAAGGCATTTGTTCTGAAAAAAGTTATGCTTTTATTAATTTGAGCTGTATAAAGTTACGGAATAACAGTTAATACAGTGTGCCACGAAACTGCAAAACTGGATTAACGTAGCCAATACACAACATTTCTCTCACTAATATCAATTAATAGTGGGGAAAATGCAAAAATACTTTACAATTTCATTGTTAATCAGATGATGCTACGTATGATATTATTTCTTACTGTCCAAATTAAGTCGATTAGAGTAATAGGAAGTTCAATTTGAATTCTAAGTTTCGTTATACACAAATAAGTATGTCCTAATTTATACTAATAGCAGTAGCGTGTCTAACTTGATTAGACCAGGATAAAGCACTCTCAAATTGTTAAAGTA